AGTGTATATACACAAAATACACCCACACAACACTGTGTATCACATCAAGTACTGCACCATGTATAATGTGTGGTATTAAAAGGTAAAAGCAACAGAAACAAATACTGATTTTACAAGTGCAATGCAGCTGGAGTTGATAAATTCCCTCGCGGAGGCTCTAATGAATGCTAGTGTGGTGGTGATAGCCAATGAGAAGCTAAGTACAGAGAAGTACAGGTTTTGAATGGGACTGACGAGGAAAAATGCTTAGCAGAAAGACTCTCTACCGCTCTTATTGAAGATGAACTATGAGATATGGACCTCGTTTTTAGCAACACTATCTACAGAAATTAATCACAGCACCTGTGCTTAAACTGCAAAAGCCATAGTGCTATGAAAAGTGGAAATAAATGCTGATCTCAACAGTAATATGAAGACTCTGTGTGTGCAACTGCTACATTTTGATGAAAGAGCATTTTTCTTATACCATGTGGGAGTTTCAGGGAATCTATAGCTAATGTCCAGAGTGACCAGCTGTGCCAATATTAGTGACTTCATCTTATCTACACAACCATTCAGTTCAAAACCTGTGGCAATCCGCAGACAGCTTATGGGAAAGTATGAGTTTTCTGTGATACCATGGTCAGGGTCTAACTGCAATGGAACAATGCCTCTGTGACAGATGAAAAACAAATTAATGCACACGTTGCACGGTCTTCCCCAAACACCTACTAACATCGTGATTGGTACCTTATGCTAGCATACCCCACCCATCTTAATGACTATAGATGATATGGCTATTGTGCAAGCTCTCATCAACTCAGACTATTAACACCTGACATTTGCTCTCCAGAATTAGTCTTTCAGCTAATTACATTCTCTTGTGCAAAGACCAGATGCTCACTGCCCATAAATGTTTGGCCAGCAGCCTGCCTTGTATGGAGATGCGTAAGTGCCGCCTAGAAACAGTGTGTGTAGCAGTGGTACCTAGGAGGAGATGAGACTAATGATGGCTTTTATGAATAAAAGTTGCCAGTCCTACCTATCAAGTCTAAGTTCTCTAGGATACCAAAAATCAGTGTCCTTTTTTAATATAAGCAATGCACTTCCGTATTAAGCATGACTAAAAATAATTGATTTTTATATATGTTCTTGTAGTTTTTTGTAGCACATTGTGGTACTACTGCAGTTGTGGGAGAAAAGTATTTCAAATAATACTTAACTCAGCCTGATGGCATTATATATCATTCATTTTTTCACCAATCGGAGGACTGGATCTGGGGTGGGATGTGTGCAGTGATCCCCCCTGCCATGCAGCAGAGGATGGCACCATTAAAATTATGATTTTGTAGATTTTTTCCAATCAAAAGTCATGTCCCTTACCTTTCTATCACTAACTTACCCCACTGGATGAGATTTTAACTGCATTATGTTTCCAGATTGCATCTGTGGTTCATTCTTTCTCTCGTCCTGTCCCATAGGAGGAGAATTGTGTATGCTAGGCAGTTTAGCATTTTGTTCTAGTTTCAGGGATTTTTTGAAAATGGTCATGCTGCTGGATGTTTGTTAGGTGGGGCTGATCAGAGAAGAGTGTCTAGAACTTGATGTAGAAGATGGAGAGATTTGTGATGGTCCATAGTTTCTGTGTGATTTTATTCCACAGAATCAGATTGATATCATGGAAAGCTCTTTCTCCTTTTGGTCTCTGGCCATGAAAAATACATTGTAGCCAAACTTTTCATGTTCCCTTTATCTTCTGCATGGCAGTATAATTAAACCAATATGCTACCATGTAAGTTTTTGATATTATGACTCTTATTCTCCTTACCTAAGAATCATTAATGAATGCATACATTTACCAAGAGCATAGTTTCTTATGTGTTAGTTTGAACCTTTGGGAGGTAGCATAATTTAAATAGTTAAAATTTAATATTATCTACAGGTAGAGTATTGTCATACAATTATCACATAGTTGTTTCCTATTCAAATGTATAGAGGTATTGTGGATACTACAGTGTGGTACTGGTTGGTCAGCAATGCTTGCTCTTGTTATTAGGAGTTTCATGGAGTCATTTGATCACATGAAAATATCAGCTTACTTTTTTTTTTAAGTATGTTTCTTGCCCTTTTGATTCTTGAAAAAAATTGATGCCCTAAAGGCTTGAAAACCAGAATTTATTATTCATGTCAATTATGATTTTAAGCAGTCCCGTAACTTTCTGAGGCCTAACTCATGACTTTTTGAAAGTTTTTTGTAAGCAATATTAATTTTTTTTATAATGATAACTATTGTCTCTTTTGTGGCCTGAAACACAAGCCCATGATCCATTTGTAAAATACCCAAACTCCTCCTAACTGGTAAGAGCTAGGCACACCAAATTTGGCATGTAGCTTCCTTTTATCCTAACTAAAAGCAAGGTCTTGGTTTGGTTGTGCCAGGAAAATGGCATGGCCTGGAATCCGATTGTTTTCCATAACATGGCAAGAGAAGGGTCTGAGAGCAGGGGCAGTTATGCTCTGCAATGACCACTGGAGGGAGCAAGCATGGGGGACAGTTATATTGCAGAGTAACCACAGGGGGCGTTCTGAGCACTCCCAGGCTTCCCATCCCACAGCCCGGAGTCCCCCAAATCTTGAGGGCAGAGGGCTGGAAGTATGGAGCATCCCCCAAACCTCCAGCCACCTGCCCTCAAGAACCTGGGCAACACCAGGTAAGTCTTCTATTAAACCTATAAATCAGCTGCATGATCTTTTGTGTGAACATCTGCACTTCAGCTCACTGGAAAGACGCTGAACATTGCTCTGGCTGATGTGTTTCCAAACAACAGAAACACAGATCATGCCTACTTGCAGATGTCGTCTTCCTCATTGTAGTGACTTCTATCCTTCCTTTTGCCTGATGGTTGTGCTTGTCTTACTTTCTATGACACTTAAGCAGACATACTGTTCAAACGGAGATAACTTACAGAAACAGAGCAAACACCAAAGCTCTATATGCTGTTCCTTCCAGATTAAGATCCTTTTTATGAGCTCAAAGCCATTCTCTTAACTTTGGATTTCTGATTTGAATTACAGAACAGTCCGAGAAGAACTTCTAAGTGATTACTGAAATGACAGAAATTATGGACAGTTTTCAGAGTAGCCAGAAAATCAGATCTGTTTTCTTCTTTTTTCATCTTAAGTGAAATGTATCTCTTCTCTAGTAAATCTGTTTGGCATACCTAATGTTTTTAAGTAATTCGTGTCCTCTTAGTTCATGTCATCCAGCTCTTGAGGGAAACATAAGTTTGTAGATATCTCTTTCCAGAGTTGGGGCTTAGGATTGACTTCCGTGGCATTGGCACGAAAATACAAACACAGCCTTTCAACTTTGATATCAAAATGAAGTGTTCATTTTCCGTACACAGCCAGTTTTGCCCTCTTTTTACTTGACATCTCTTCATGTGTAGCATCACTTACTAACCTTAGTGTTTCAAGAATACCATCAAAGGTTCCCCACCAATGATTTTCATGTTTTGACTCCTGATTTTCCAGTAAGCTATGTGGCATTTTAATTACCTATAATTCAGTTTGATCAGAATAACAAGAAAAATAAAATAACATTTGAGATGAATTAGACTTTTTTCTTACATGCTACATCTACTTCATTCTAGGAATTAGTCTTTAACACTTGGTTCAGTTGCCACCAACTAACAAGTCTTTTAAACTTTATTGCACACCATCATCGACTCTACTGATCTTAAAGCTCCAGATACCAGTTTGATCTTCAGTTCAATCACTAACCAGCTGCTTAAATTCAAAGAAGAAAGAAAATCTGTTGCATCTGGAATGGGGGAAGGAGCTAGGTGGGAAGAAGAGAGTTATTGGTGTAGTGTCAGAAAAGGAATGAAGATTAACAGCAATTTTTTAGGCTGGAAGAGAGTGTACACTTTGAAGCTTAAATTCTGTAGTATATCAAATCAGTAAATTTAGAAATGAGACATATGCTATTGTTTTCTGTGCTCCAATGATAGATCAATACTTATAGTGGAGTTATCAAATTCTTACCTTGCAAGTAAATATTTTCGGGACTACTAAAATATATTAATAGGGCTACTAGCTGCTTGATTTCAAACCAGAATATTTATATTTGATGTCCCTAATCTGGAATCCCAGATCACTCTAAAAAAACAACAAATGGTCTGGTAGCACTTTATAGACTAACAAAACATGTAACCTCACTTTGCCTACATCTCATAGGAGATGGTGATGAAGTACGTCAGTTGGTGCCCCACTCTCTATTTGAGTTCAGAGATCAGAGCACCAGTTAAAGGTACTGAACTTAACAGGTATTTCAGGAAAATAACAGGGGGAATTCTCCTCATTTTCTTTACCGGCCAGTAATTAGGGAACAGAGAAAAGCAAGGAGCAGAGTTCCTTCATGGTTTCCTGAGGCATAAGGTGTGTATTTTGGACCATGGTTCAGTTTTGCTCAGGTAGAATACTTCCACATTGAGCTGCACAAACTATACATTATTGAGGAAATTATAGACAAATGTCCAAGTGAATAACATTATAATGTTGAATAACATATGCCTGGGCTATAAAATACAATAAAGTTGTGAGGAATAATATTATGCAATATTACATCCTGTAATTAAAAAATAGCATGGACTAATGAGTTATTAATCCATGTTTTATCTAAAGGATTAAAGCAAATGTTTTATGCATTTCTCTTGTCAACAATTATTTTAGTACTAGTATTCGATAATTATATATATGTATTCTTTATTACCAGTGGGATAAAAAAAGTGTGTCTGTAAAAGTATATAATTATGTTTTGCTCTTTTTAGAGAGAATGCTAGAATTAATCCCCAAAATCAAAAAGATCCAGTGCCAAGTATCTTGGTGGATAAGATAGGAAAAAAGAAGCCTTTCGAAAAAGCTGTGCAAGACCAATTACTGAACTCACCTTTGCATTCAAAGGATTCAGAAGCTGTTTATTGCTCTCCACATGTTAAATCTACCCCAGATGGTTTGAAAAGCTCATCTGTTAATTTAAAAGGCTTAGCCAGCCAGCAAAGCTCAGCAAACCTAAAGCACATGAGCAGAAGAAACAGTAATTTTAAGAAAATTACAAGAAAACATCATGAAGGTTTTGCATCCCGTGACAAAAAACATGAAAATGCTCATTTGTCTTCAGAAAAAGAGCCACTACTTCAGAAGCCTCTTGAGAATGCTTTATGTTCAACACAAAAATCTTTTAGGTCAACAAAACTAGGTGATAGTTCTGCTGCTGCACTAAATCTACAGCATGTGCAAGAATCAGAAGCCACAGGTAATATATCAAGATCCAGTTTACTAGCTGTATATAGTACAACTAACAGTTTAGCCACAAAACCTGATAGAAAAGAAACGAAACATGAGAAGAACTCAGAGAGTCCTAGCAGTGTGCTAGCCACGACTTCAGATTCAACTGTGACTACGGAAAATAAAAATGCAGAATCTCTTTTGGAACAACCTTCCAGTGAAAAAGCAAAAAGCCCCGCTGAACATTCTGCTCTCTTTCAAAACGAACCTGCACCATCAGCACTTCCAGTGCAAGATTCCTTAGTGCAGGGTTATGAGACATTCTATCCTGACTATTCTTTTTATTCTTGTCATCAGAGTGATAACAGTGGCAGTTCCACAGCCCAGAGTTACCAGGGAAAAACTTATGAAGTGCAACATTCTGGGATGTCTGCTGTTGCAAATAATGTGTATAATGCTTACTCTAATGTGTTTTACTCTCACGCATATAGTTACACTGCTCTTGGTGAGCAACAAAGTTCTAGCTCTGGTCAAACGTATCCAGTGCAAGGATATTTTAGTTCTCAGATGCCCCTTCCTTACAACTCTCAGATGCCATCTTTACCACAGTATGCTGCAAGTCAGCCTTGGTCATTAGGTCCTTTTTTATATCCTTTCAATACAGAATCATCCTCAGAAGCTGTTTGGACCAGCAGTAAGTAAATAACTAACTACTAAATTCAGTATTTTTTCCATAGTTTTATAGCAGTGACCTCAGGTATTTAAATTTAGACATTGCTTTGCTGCCTAAAGCTTGGGTAGAACAAATACTTGGCCTTGATCAATTGATTTTTCAAATGATACACTATGCCGCATACAGATGTGTAAACTAGACTCTCTAAGAATCAGTGAATCACCTGTGAATTTGGCTCAGTATCTTCAAAATGGGACAGCGCAAGCATGTATCTATAGTAGTTTTACCCCTGGTTTCAGTCTTCATAAATCCATCCTTATTTACTGCTTCACTGTATTATGACGGAGTGCTAACAGTTTCCTTTTGGGATTGTGAAGTCTCTTCTAGCCATATATAGAGTGATTATTGAGTAATACACTAAGTACATAAAGGCTAAGGAATGGGAACTCCACTATGTCCCCCTCCAACGAGTGCCTTACTATAAAAATAACACTAAGCATTTTTCAGCCATTAGATACCTGGACTAGTTGAACATTCCTAGCCTTATAATTTCCTAGCGGTCAGTGTCTAATGCTAATTAATGATCTAGTTGTACATTCCATTTGAGTTATTAGGCTGTTACATTTACACTGGAAGACAAGCACTCTATTTAGTATTTCTGTGCTTAATGATAAATGGTGTTTGGGGTAGGGATGTAAGTGACTAATCGCTTACCCAATAAGCCTAGGCTTATTGGGTAGTTGAGTCACTACTTGACTAGACACTTCCGCCCCCTTTGCTGCCTCTATATTAGAGGCAGCAAGGGGGGCAGAGCAGGAATCAGTGCTGAGGGGAGCCGGCTTGAAAGCCAGTTCCCCCCAGCACTGTCTCCATGGGGGGGAGGCAGAGGCAAGTGGGGAATCCGGTGCAAGTGGGGACTGAAGCAGAAAATCCATCAACTCAAATGGAAAATCCATCGACAACTCAAATTAGCTGATTAGTTGAAATTTAACATTCCTAGTTTGGGGGCTTTGGCGGTGGAAAGAGGAATCATTATTTCCTATGCCCTAATCTTTTCTCAAGTATATTTTTCTTTGTTTCCAGCTCCCTGGCAGCAGGCATCTTTTCATCCTGGATATTGAAACCAGTCTCCTATGACAACTTTTTGGTTCAGCATTGTTTACTGTAATTTTTCTTTGTTGAAGATGTTTAGTTTTAGATGCCTATATAGATTTGTCACTGATTATACCATACAGAACACTGCATAATGTTCTGAAGTGTAACCACTTACCCCAGAAGACAGTGTAATTTACATTTGCCAGTCTATTACATCAAAATTTATCTTTTTTTTTTAGGACAAAGTCAGCTGGAGTTTTCCTAGTGATTTCTATGGGTGCAGGATTAAGTCCTTAATGAACAGCAAGACTTACCTAATATGATTTAAAAACCCAAATACATAGATGAAAGGACAAATTACCCATTTCAGTGACCACTGAGAGCTCGCTTGACTGTGAAACCATGGAAACAGCATGGTTCTGCAGTACAAAAGGCAGGTTAAATGGCTGGTTAAGGTAATAACTGTGAAGTGGCTCTATGGTGTTGACCTGGAGCAGGATTTTTTTCCTCTCTGCCTACTAGAGGTACCCAGTATACAGCCCTTTAGCCTCACTGGTTGTCGTGTCTCTGGATTTGACACTAATATATTAAGTTTTTAGTTAACTCTTAGAAATGTGATATGATGGTGTTCATTTGACATCTAATAAAAAAATTAAAACAGAATTTTTTATGTGTGATTATGGAGTCTTTAGCTATTAAATAGAGTTTTTGAACAAAGGCTCTGCCTCAGGCTGTCAAGATCTATAGTTAATTCTGAATAACTGGGTAAAATTCAACCCACAGTGACAGGCCAGTATAAAACACACTACTCACATCTGATTTTGCAGAAATGTGCCTTGACTTCCTGCTGGCCAGGGGCTGCCTTTTTCTTAAGAGATTGGAACAGAGAAATTTAATTTTTGAATGTTATGGTTAGTATTTTTTGAAATTGTAGTTAATATTCTATCTGATATGCAAATACCAAACATTTGCTTCAATCCAAACAGTTTTTACACTGACACTGTTTAACTCTATGTATATTATTTATGACAGTGGTTGAAATACTTTTAGTATTTTTCTTGAATTAAGAAGACCTATTTTTGTAATTTTTTATACTTTTCTTAAATATTTCTAAATATAAAGGTTTTATTGGAAAACTTTAATTTTAAATGCTAACAGCATTTGTACAGTACAAGTATATGTGTAAACTTAATATTTTATTTGTATGCATTAAGCATGTTTTTTTTAAATATTGTAGCACATAGTACAGCTATAATGAGCACTGACAGTGTAGTTAGGTGTCTGTTATGTGATATTTTAGAACATAACAGAAGCTATAAAATTGGCATTAAAAGTACAGATTACTGAAAAATTAAAATACTTGTGTTGAACTCATAATATACAGAATAGTCCAGGTTTAATGATGGTCTCTTTGCTGAAGAATCACCAGTATTTTCTAAATATTATTTGTGTACTGTAGTGTTTTCATGAGAACAAGATATTATAATTAGAAGTGAATTACATCAATCAAAATCACAGAGAGAGATCTCAGATCTGGGTGAAATTTTGGTCCCACTTAAATCATAGAACCTTGCTATTGGTCTCGGTTGGATCAGAATTTCATCCTCAACTGCAATCTGAAACATGGGATAAGAATCCCTCTATCTTGTAAAAATCAGTTCCTGTGGTTTACACACTATTCGATAGGAGATGATCTCTACTAACCCTTTGGTGATAGAAATCCACATATTTAAGAGCACAGTTAAGTCCTAAATTGATAATTTTTTACATCTGATAAATGCACGTAATGTCTGAAATGCATCTTTTAACATGATTGGGATGTTAAATCTTCATCAGCCAGAAAACAGACTTACACAAGTGTTACACTTCTCGTGATTTTGTGCAACATATACATCTGATTAGAATTAAAAATTGTCAGTTAATAGCAATAGTGTGGAAATTTAAGCATGTTTATGTAGTACAGGCGTATTATGTAGTACAGAGTATTTTAGGACTGGTAGAACTGGCTAAAGTTAAATTTAGGCGAAAACTATAGTTCCTAGCAATTACTTCTTCCCCTTTCCATTACATCTTCACTTTTTTTTTCTTTTTTTTTTTTTAATGAACAATAATTTCACTTTTCACATGCCTCCAAACTGCGGTAGAATCCTATGTCAGGCTTAAGTGTAGCAGGGAATATTTTAAGACTTTTATACACCTCCAGTCACTTTGAGTTTTATCTTTATTTAGTTTTGAATAACAGCAATTGCATACACTACTAGGCATACTGGGCCAAATTAATCTCTGGTTTATCTCCATTGAAGCCCACAGAGTTACACCAAGGTTGGGTTTGACTTACAACTTTTTACAGTCAGTTACTATGAGTATCTGCTGATGTAATAATGCAGAATTTAGCCAGTTTGTCATTTTTTACTACTAATAATAAACACTTTTTTCTTATATTGCTGTGTAGCATATTTTGTTCATTCTACTAATTTTCTTATGAATACAATATATCAAAAGCCATATAGTAGGATAGTTGATTTCATTTGATGTATTGTAAGAGGCTGCAGACTAGTCTTTTAACATTCTTTCATAGCTTGCTCCACAGTGACACTTAAGGTGTCATGGGATAAGAGAGAAGGTCATCTCATGGATCAATAACTGGTTAAAAAATAGGAAAGAAAGGGTAGAAATAAATGGTCAATTTTCACAGTGGAGAGGTAAATAGCAGGATCCCTCATTGATCAGTACTGGACACAGTACTGTTGAACATATTAAGAAATGATCTGGAAAAGAGGCAAACAGTTGGCAAAGTTTGCAGATAATGAGGATGGAACAACTAACTATCGTCCAAAGCACAGGACTTGGTGGTGATGAGGGGCTTCATCTACCCTGCCATCTGTTGGGATAACAACACAAATTATTCAACACATTCTTAAAATGTTTTTTTTTTAATTTCAGACGTGCAGTAAGCTACTAGCATAGGTGGCTGTTTTAGATGTGATTTTGATAAATGAGGGACTGGTTGAGAATTTAAAACTGGAAGGTAGCTTATATAAAAGTGATCATGAAATAGAATTCATGATTCTAACGAATGGAAGGAGGGAGAACATCAAAATAAAGATAATGGATTTCAAGGAACAGATGTTAGCAAATTCAACAAGTTGGTAAGATCCCATGGGAAACAAGTCTTAAGGGGGAAAAAAGTTCAAAAGAGTTGGCAGCTTTTGGGAGAGACATTATTAAGGGCACAAAAACAAATGATCCCACTGCAAAGAAAGATCAGAAGTATGGCAAGAGACCTTTCTGTCTTAATCAAGAAATCTTCAGTTATCTGAAACTCCAACTAGAATCCTATAAAAGTTGTAATTATATCAAATTGCAAAGGATGGATACAAAAAACCTACCGCCACCACAAGCATATAAGGACAAAATCAGAAAGGCCAAAACATAAAACAAGATTAAATTAATTAGAGACATAAAGAGTAATAAGAAAACATTCTAAAAATATATTAGAAGCAAGAAGACTGTGATGGGGTTTATCAGCATGAACTGGTACAACAGGGATTAACCCCTCTCTGTTATCAGAAGAGACCATGCCCCTTCTGCTCTGCTGAGCATGCTCCAGTTGGAACCAGGATATATAAAAGGCCTGAAAGGAGCTTAGGCTGGCCTGACTGCCAGAGGAGAAGAAGGCGCATTGCTAGCTTTAGCAAGTGGTCTGCTTGTGCTCCAAGGCTTTGACGCCAGCCACATAGAACCAGATCCAGACATACAGACAGGATGTCACAGTGCTTACAGAGACTGGCAGATCTTGGACACCAAAGACTTCATGGACTCAGGAAAAGAGACCCAGGGAGATTTAGCGGGGAAATTGTTAGAATCAGCTAAAGACTCAGCATGTTGCAGAAAGATCCCTGCCAATCTGGTAGCAGGTCAGCCGGCCACCAGCATGGCCCAGGGTCAGAACCCAGTGGAGAGGGAGGGCCTCGGTTCCCTACCCTGGCTACTACCCATCTTGGGGTGGTGACCCAGCCAACTGAATATTGTGACTCTGGCTGTTGGGCTGCACTTCCCTGACCACAGAGGGGTTATTTGGTATATCTTGACTTTAGTAAGGTTTTTGATACTGTTTCCCCTATAACAGGCTAGAGAAATACAACCTAGATAGAGCTACAACAAGATGGGTGCATAACTGTTTGGAAAACCATTCCCAGAAAGTAGTTATCAGCAATTCATAGTTAAGCTGGAAGAGCATGTTCAGTAGGGACCTGCAAGAATCAGTTCTGGATCCACTTGTGTTCAACATCTTCATTAATGATTTAGATGAGGAGTGGGGAATCGATGACCTGCACATGGAGGGTGGGCCCAATAGGCTATGCCTCCCCAAACAACCAGGTGTGGACTTGCCTATGCTCCACCAAAACTTGCTGACTGCTTGCACTCCCTGTGCCCCCACAAGGCCCTACTGCCCTGTGCGTCCTCTGGTCCTGCCTGCCACTCCCAGCTGATTTTAAATGCCCTGGAGGAGGGCCCACCAACGCAATACAGTGGGGCTAGGATGGCTTTTAGCCACTCTCTCCCTATGGAGACTGATTCCTCCACAACATATCCTAGAGCCAGTGATTCCTCCACATGTCCACAATGATTTTCAGCAATGGATCTGAAACAGACCCCTTTAAAGTCAAAACAGAAATTAGGCAACGTGGTGCCATTGCTCCAACCATCTCTTCTCCATCTTCCTTGCCATTTTTTCCCCTCATTGGTGGCACATTCCCCTCCAGACTTGATATCCATCACAGAATGGATGGCAAGATCTTCAGCCTCAATCGCCTCCAATCCAAGATGTACTATTAGTAAATTAGCCCTTGAACTCCAATATGCAGATGGCTGTGCTCTGTGTACCCAATCAGATGATCTTCAAACAACAGTTTACCTCTTCTCTGCAACCAACTAGGCCTCATACTCCACACCAAGAAAACTAAAGTGCAGCACCACAATCAAGATCAGCAGACACCCTGGAGAACATGGAACATTTCCACAATCTGTTGCCAACAGACAACATTGACCAGGTGATTCAACTTTGCCTCCAATGTGCCAGTGGGGCTTTCAGACACTTGAAAGAATGCCTCTTTGAAGATGCTGATGTGAAAACCAAACCAAGGCCATTATCTAGGCCATTATCCCTGCTCTCCTGTGCAACCCTGAAATCCGAGTTATGCACAGTAGACGCCTCAAGATTCTTGAATGATACTATCAATGGTGCCTCTGCAAGATCTTCTGAATCAGCTGGGATGAATGATGCACAAACGCCAGCATTCTGTACAAGCCAAAACTTCCAGCACTGTGATCATCAGCCAATAATTCTGTTGGGCTGGTCACATTCTTCGAGTGCCAGACTATTGACTCCTGAATCAAATCATGATGTTCTCAACTGAGCTCAGGCCAACAGACAAGAGGAAGGCAAAAACACTTCAAAGATACCCTGAAAGCCAACGAACTTGAGGGAAACCCAAGTCCTTGACTGATTAAAATGGGGAAGGACCTTATGGCAAAGATTCAAGCATTTTGAGACCCACTGAAGACAAGAAGAAGAAGAGAAATAGAAGGGGGGGAAAAAAAGGCTGGAATGCATTTTCAGCCATTCAGATCTACCAATTATGATAACATATATGGATCCT